AAGCCCTGTGGCATAAATCGCACAAAAATGTGAGTCCAAACTTTCTTTGTCTTGGATAGGATTTCATGAAACTTCTGAGGTAATCCAGCTGCACTTTGACTTGAAATTGTCCTCCCAGGCACATTCCTAATGCACCACTTAACCAAAGAGGTCTGGGATAGTGATCAGTCGGTTGTTCTTTGAAGCCTGGAAGAGTTAACGTATATGTGCCTGAAACAAGAAAACTTATATGAAACAATTTATGATTTCAGTTGCAACACAGGGTCCCCTATTTACATAAAAGTAAAAGGTGACAATAAAATTGGGAATCGCGCCTTTAACCTTTATCTAAATTAGGTTTCCTGTGGTTACACTCGTTTTTCATGAGTACATAAACAACACAGTGACGCCTTTGTTTTCCTATATAATTCCCCTATGGAATCTGCTGTCGCTCCTATGTATATACTCTTACATGGAAGCAACAATCAAGAGCCTACCAGTCTCGCTATCATATAACTCTGCAGGTATTTAATAATTGACAACAGAACTCTCCAAAGTTGCTAACTTAAACATGGTCTTTCTTGTAATCAAAAAATATTTTTGAAATCATTAATTGTTCCTGATGCTCGTTTCCAGTGTTACACTGGTTTTTCATATGGTCTAAAGAGTTACACGTTTCAACTTCTTTGTGRCCTTCTGATTGAATGCTTAGAAAAATAACGCAAGGCTAGAACGATAATTAAACACATTGGAGTCTTTATTTCATTTTCTATCTTCCAAAGAGGAAAAGGCAAGGCAAGTGAAGTTAATTTCCCGAGTTCATGAGTATGTCTTGGGAAAGGTCTATTATATGAAATACATGGGTATATTACCTAGGGCAGCAAAATCTTCACTCCACATTGTAACGAAACCATTTTTCTTCAAGTCTTTAAAAAGAAGGGGCCAGTTATCGACATTCTCGTCGTCATGGTGAAGTTCTTTATTMTCCTCTACGGTATTTCCCGTCAGCATTGCGTTAACGTTAGGCAACGTTGCATCTCCTACAACGGAATAACCTTTAAACATGTAAGATCCAAGTTCATCTCTAAGAAAAGCGTAAGTCATGGGAAGCATGCGTCGAAAGTGAGCCTCCGATGTTCCATCCAGTTCAATGATAATGATATCCAGTGGTGCATCATTACTTGGCATGCGCGATAGCACTTTCTGTTTTTCCACCACCGACATATGATATGTTGTAAATGTGTGACCGTTTTTTAACTTTGTAGTTACCTTCCATAGGTCTTCCTCAATGGAGAAATTAGATGTATTGTTTATAAGTATGTGTGGTTCTCCGAGATGAAATGAATGGTCATTACTCGCAGTAGTTCCATTGGGTCTGTGAATGGGCTGTGCCTCTGTCTGTAAAAGATTAGAATCTGGAATACAAGATTGGTAATGAACTGATTAACAGTAATTTCACCAATACCATTCTTTTACTACTTCCACCATTGCAACGCCATGCACATTCTGTTTTTAATCACAGTACTACTGGTAATACCACCACCAC